CCCGCTTTCTATATTCGTCTTTTCTTCCATTAAATCATTCAGAATTGCATCTCACTAAGCTGTAGTTTCATACTTACCGATTGTAATTGCACCAAGACTCCACCGCAATTAAGATCATTCYTAATAAAAGCTTAAAGGCAAGTAACATAATTTAATTTAATATAAACCAAATAAAAATTCAATAGCTTTCAATCTTACAGGTTTTTTTCCTCTTCAATATAGCTCATATGTTCAGCTTAATACGTCCAATAGACCTTATGCGTGGTGTGACAATGTTTTCTCAATTCAGCGTGACAAACCTCTGGGGGAATGAAGACCTATTGTTTTGAAACTCGTCGGGATVTCATCGTTATTCCTTTCGTATTCYTTGGGATACTCATGAATTTTTCGAAGAGTAAAAACAAAAGAAAATGAATCCCCTGGAGATTCGTCACGCTGAATTGGGAAAACATTGTCACACCACGAATAAGGTCTATTCTCCGCTTCCATCACTTCAAGGTGACGGCTTTTAACGCGAATATCTTTGCAGCAGAATGTTTAAAGATTATATCATCTGCTAGGTTTGAAATAAWGTTACGAAAAAGCGTCGTTGTGTTTCTAATATGTTTGGGACGTTTTCCACAAGAAGGAGAATAYTCTAACGAATCCCGAGAAGAACAGAGGTTGTCGGTTCGTGCTTTACCGCCTTCACCACCATCATGGATGAAGAAGATTGGCYCCATTTATACTGGCTACCCTGGACAAGTCAGTTGCGCCCTCAAACACTTGACGGAAGCTTACAATGTCATCAAATCAGCAAAGTATACAGCAAGAATTGATCGGTATTTTCGATGTCGTGCTAGCAAGAGAGCGGCTGAGTGTGGGCTCTTCAGCAAGATTCTTGCTTCGGCTGTRAGGTAAAAGAAAACTCTTTAACTAGGACGTTATGTTTTCCAATTAATTTAAAACCATGTGTCATTTCCTTGAGTATTATTTCTTTCTTTACTAGGAATGCTTTTCATTTATGGTGGAATGTTTTCCCATTTCAGACCATGTGTCATTCCCTTGAGTATTATTTCTTTCTTTACTAGGAATGCTTTTCAGCTATGGTGTAATGTTTTCTCATTTCAGACCATGTGTCATTCCCTTGAGTATCAATTCTTTCTTTACTAGGAATGCTTTTCAGCTATGCTGCAGTTTTCCCAATTTCACTGAGACCAGGTGCCCGTCACGCAATGTACATAGTCACGCAATCATTTCTTAGATTACTCAATGACATACYTACCTCATCTTTTTCACGCATTTTATTCATTCGCGTTGCCTGGCAACTGGTCGCCATGGAGATACTACTTAACACCYTTCGTACATCCTTTTTTACCTTAACTCTCTTTGGAAGGCATTATCAAAATTAGGAATTTAAAAAACCCTTGACTTTTTGACACAAGTATTGGTTTATGTCGGAGCAATATTTTTGATGACCACGTATTTTATAACTCTTAAGGAATATTGTATTTCTGTATTCCTTGTTCCTGTGTAKGCGTGCTACAGTATCTGTCTGTGTCATTCTCCTGTGTCTTTATTTTATTTTCAGCTGCTTGTTATCTTTCTATATTGTATTGTATTGTATATTCGTCAAATGTGTTACATTTATTTTTCGTGATTTTTTTCTCTAGTTTGTCGATCTATTTTTAAATTCCTGTTTTGTTTTACTTCTGTTTCCTTTCCTTT